AGACAGACAGACAGACAGTGATAGGTAGAGAAAAAGCAAAGACAGAAATACAGACGGACGGACGAACAGAGATAGATTTAGAATTGATCCCAGTTGTAATATTTAGACTGTCCACACGAGGTCAGTCATATTCATTTAATAACTTTACATTGGGCATTGGATATGTTTCAATATGAAACCTAAGACAAAAATCTAATTGGCAGCATGGCTTCTTAGACAGTCATCGCTTAAAAATATCCATTAATCAAACAAATAAAAGCATTTAAATGACATGGACCTACACTACAGCCTAAACCATAACTATAGTCATATAATTTGAATAACACCCTAATATCAGTATTCATGCACGTTAACACCTCGTTCAAGAGAAATGAGTTTAAACAAATGTCCTATTCAAGTTCGTTGAATGAATAAACAGTCAAGCATGCGACAGACAGGGCCAGGGTTTGAGAGACACCTCACTGCTCCCACTAACTGCTGCTGGTCCCGCCCTATGAGACACGCGGACTAGAAGAATAGAAGTTGCTACAGTGTAACAAGTGATTTGTGTCTCTTCATTCTGAGACCGTTTTACATTCGTCAAAACACGTAGCGCAGAATAAAAGTTCCAACATTGTGGCAAGCGGTTTGTTTTGATACATTTTACAACGCTTTTACTCCAGTCGAACGCCGTGGCGCAACATTGTAACAAAGTAGTGGGTCTCGCGACGTTCATTGGAATAGAAGGACAGCTCAGCGTGTTTGCGGTAACCAGCCAAACAGTCCCAAGGAGACAATGTTGGATGGTGTTTTGTGAGCGTTTAAAGGGAATGAGAGTGAACGAGGGAAGCACGCTTTGAGCACTGCAGCGTTCGAGGTAAGAGAGCCTCGAATTTCCTACACGAATAGCTGTGAAGTCATTGTAATGTGATGTTACCGGCTCACCTGGTGTGAGGATTTCTGCTTTGGGTGCAGATTATGTTTTAGATGTTTTATTTGAGTCGTAATAACTTCCTAACTGCAACTAGATAGTAACCCCTGCTGGTAGATCCACACATAACTGTGTGGAACATGGGAGATGGTTTCTAGTGGATCCGAGCTGATCTTTAACTGGATCCCGCATGTGATATTTCCAACACTTTTATTTATAATTAAGGGGGAAAAGGTGTAGATGCTTAACAAGTATTATTGTATATAATAACATTTAATATAAAATTGTTGTTGTAAATCAAAATATAAATAATTATGTGTTTATATTTCTAGAAGTCAGTATAGTCTTCTTATGGCAGTAAATAGTCAAAATATTACATTTCGTCACAATAGTCACACTATATGCAATATTTTTTATTATTCAAATCATTGTACTGCATGTAAATTCAGTTATTGTCTAGTCTACCAACTACCATGTCCCAAAAACTAGCTTGACCATCTTAAGATGGTATGACCAGCTGGTGGTTTCAGAACAACTAGAAAACTATCATGTTCCAAAACACATCGATCAGCTTTCAAACAGGAACATTTATAATTTAATTGCAATGCTTAGTTCAATTTATATGTTTTTATATTTATATATATATATTTACAATTATTTTATTTCATGTTTAATTGTTCAATTATTTATGTGAACTTTTATTTTGTATTTTTGTTTTGTTTACTTTTTCCTTTAATCGGTTACCTTATTTTGTTTAATTTCTGATCTTGAAAGAAAGATGTTTTATAATTAGACTAAAAATACTAGTTAAACAAAAATGTTTGGATTATACACTAGTGGGTGACAGGTGTCTTTTGGACAAACATGCCTTTGATGTTGATTTGAACTCACCTCAGCAGAATGTTTATATCACTAGCTTGGTTTGAACCCCTGCTGTTATTTTAATCATTCTGTGGCCTGATATAGAAGGTGTTCACATTTAACCTGAGCCTTTCCTCTTCAAAGCTGTAAAATTTTAAGAATTTATCTCATCAGATTACGTGACTTGACTATCTATCTATGTCATTAGTTGTATCTGTGTTGAAGGAAACCATAGCCTGTAAAAATGATAGAATCAAAGACAAAGGCAGAGTTGACTGTTAGTAAACATAAGGTCATGCCTTGCATTTTGTTATTAGAAATATGCTTTTTTGTGTGTTCCCCAGACTCCACAGTCCTAGATTGTTGTTCTTGTGTCTAGAATCTTTGGAATTCCCAGGGTGTGTTTTGTATTTGGTTGTCTGTCGTTCCTGGCATCTATTATTCATTTAAGCAGTGGTTCTCAATTGGTTTTACTTCTTGTATTGGACATCAAGTACTAACATAGATTATTGCACAAAAAATCCTTTACATTTGAGTTTTTTTTATATTAACATGAAATACAAGCTTATTTATTTGCTATCCTAACTATGCATGATAGTTTTGTTTTATTATTTTCATTTAGCATTGTCCGTGACTCACCAGTTGAGAACTGATTTAAAGGTTTCTGTATGTTGCGCTTTTGCTCCTTTTGGAATTGCTTATGGAAATCTTGCTTTCGCTGGCCAGATCTAAAATCTAATAACCTTGCAGATTTTTTAATTTCCTCAGTACTCTCATGGTATTTGCCACCTTAATGAGCCACACACGCATGAAAACTGGAATACAGAAATAATAATGGCTAATAATGGAAGTTCGAGTTTTTATTGTTGATCCAAATTCTGGGCCTGTGCCTTTCTCGAAATGCAGTTGTCAAACAGTGAATGTGTCCGCTAGCGATTATGGAGATGAAACCACTGCCAGAAGAAATCCAAGAGGGTTCATCTGTATCTCATTACAGAGAATGCAGTTTTAGCTTCTTGCTGGTAGATGTGTTCTGTCGAGATCAGTACTGAGTTGACTGATTAGAATTCTTGGGGGATTGATCATTTAGGAAAGATTGCACCGCAGTATCACTTATAATCTAATCTATGTTGGTGGTCATCATTGACCAAAAAAGGCATGAATAGCTTAGTTTTGCAGCATGGTTCCAACTTGGCTCATTTTTTAAAGTCTGGTATGTGCATGGCAGGATATAAGCTTTGTTTTAAAATTTTTTTTTACTCGCTTTCAGATTCTGCATATAAGAACTGAATATTTAAAGAGCCTCTAGCAGCTCTTACTATACTTTGCCCTCCAGTCAGCAGTGGCCTATGGAATGACATACAATATCTGCACTTGTATGTTGTTGCAGCTGCTTATGCTATGTACTCTATGTTCAAAAGTTTAGTGTACTTTCGTGTGTGTGTGTGTGTGTGGTTTTGAAGGAAGTCTCTTATGCTCACCAATAGGGCTGTGTATCACCAGCAAAGTCACGATACGATACGTATCACGATACAGAGGCCACGATACGATACGTATCACGATACATGACTGCACTGAATTTCTCCTCCGCAGAATTTAGAAAAACAGCTGTTTATTAAACACTGCATACTATAGTGCCATTTCTAACTATTGGCAGAGCAGGCAGCTGACCTCTGCATTATGAAGGGCCTCCATAACTCTACCACAGTACAATATAGGTAATGGCATATGTTTCATGTTTACATTGTGCACTCCCCACCAGGTACAATATTCTGATTGTTTGCATCTTGTTTTTAAGCCCATAAATAATAATGTATTGTTCTAATACATTTATATTTTAATGTACTCATTCTAATATATTTTAAAAATCATTTAGCGCGCGCGCGCGTGCATATGGTTGCCAGGTTGACAAAGATAAGTAACACATTTAGCAGATTTTTCCGTATTGCGCAAGTGTGAAGCTCTGTTTTGGGGATTACGTCATTAAGCATGGTCCACTGCTGCACACGTGCCACAATATCGATACAGGGCCAGCTGTATCGATACTCGTATCGTCAAATCTCTGTGACGATACATCGTCGTATCGATATTTTGAACACAGCACTACTCACCAAGGCATTGTTTATTTGAATAAACAGTAAAAACAGTAACATTGTGAAATTGTATTACAATTTAAAATGACTGTTTTCTATTTGAATATATTTTAAAATATAAGTTATTCCTGTAATGGCAAAGCAAAATTTTCAGCTTCATTAGGCCAGTCTTCAGTGTCACATGATCCTTCCAAAATCATACAAAAATGCTGATTTGGTGTGCAAGAACCACTTATTATTATTTATGGTGAAAATGGTTGTGCTGTTTTTCAGGATTCTTTGATGAATAGAAAGTTCGAACAAGCAACATTTATTTATTCACTTTGGATCAGTGTAGGGTTGGGCGATGTCTACAAAATTGGCATCGGACGATGTCTACAGTGAAACATCGTGGGTTGCCTGTTACATTACAGTACATAAAATTTCACTTACCACATAAACAGAGTAAGGAGAGATGACTGAGGATGATGGCGAATGATTTGCAGATCCTCAGTACCACTGACAAACATATAATCTTGTAAAATATGTGGCACGTGAGGACGTACGTGAGAGTACGTGCGATCTCGAAAGTGAAAGTGAAACTAAAAGCGATCGTGCATTCAAAAGCACGATGCCAGTTTCAATGCCAGGTATAATAGCGGCTCCCTGATGCCGAAATATATATGTAGTATAATTACCCAATTATATAACTGCGAGGAAAAAAGACTGTTAATTACGACAGTCATGTTACATTATTTGACTAATTTGGATGCTACACCACTTTAAAATAAATATAAATCATCTTTCAGAACAAGGGGGCCCCCTGTTGCTTCAGGGGCAATATGCAACTTGCATAATTTGCATATAGGGAGGACCATCACTGAACGCAGTAGTTACCGTGTCTACACCGGACGCCAGCAACGTGACACGATGCGACACATTGCGACAAAAGACCTTAGATCTCATTATAATCAGTGATGCTGTCTACACTGGATGCGGCGCAACACGACAAATCCCCGACAGTAACTGCTGCCGCATTCTATTTATGACGTGCTGACACAGATTTCAAATGATTTTCAACAGTCCAGTGTAGACAGACTTTAGCTGATGCGGCGCGACACGACAACTGTCGCGTCCGGTGTAGACAAATGCGTCCTTACTGAATAAAAGTATCAATTACTTAAAATCTGATTGACCCCAAACATTTGAACAGTTGTGTGAAGGAATTTTAGCTACATGTTCAATATAAGTTAAGCTCTATCTACAGCATCTAGCCTATAGCATTTTGATGGTGATCACCACAGAAAATAGTTTCAACCCTTCCCCTCAGGTGTTTTTTTTTTAATTGTGGTTTTTAAAGGTTATGTACAATAGCAGTGGATAGGGTCAGGCAGTAAAACATTAAATCACAATATATTATTAACAGTATAGCCACAAAACTTAGACATAATACATTTTGAAACCAGTATAAAAGAATCACACTATAAAGTATTTAAATGTATAGCCAATCTTTCAGAGTGATACTTTTAATTTGCATTGAACCTAGAACACTCCTTAAGACCAAGGCAAAAAGCTGCATCTAGGCAAATAAAGGGAATAATCTGTACTCTGACACAGTTTCTCCGAGTTGTATTTGGAGAAACAGGTCAAGAGAGTCCCATTCGCCACCTTTTAGTAATCAAAGAGCTCCATGGTTACACAGATCCCAGGAAGTCCAATTCTCCCAATGGAGGCTGTTGGTTTCAATGTTTTCCAGACATGCGAAGGATTGTGCTGATGCAGAATCAATAGAAATCGAATATAAACCCAGTCTTTTCCAGTATAGTCGGCCTGCTAATCTTTCAGTTAATTCTCAGTTTTTGAGAACTTGCAGACTCTAGAAGTGCTTTTCCAGTTCTATTGAGTTTCTCTGTCAGCGACGGATATCACATGAGTCTCCCGGGCCTCCTGCTTTTTAATAAAAGCGGCCAGGCAGACAGAAACTGCGGCCATGTTCTCTGATTCAGCACATAC